GCGAAGTTGTGGTGTCGCCGCCGCCCGTCGCTCTGAGTGTACTCGAGGATCACGGCGAGTGTCCGATTCCGGGAGTTCGAAGCGAATCTCGCAGTCCTCCTGCACGAGGCGCGACCGCGGCGCCGGCACGGGCGCACCGCCGCGCGCGCTCACGTAGGCGACGGCGTCCGGCGGCACGGCGACGCCCTCGCCCCTCCACGCGTCGACGTACCACGCGATCGTCCGTAGCTGCGGCTGCTCGTGGATCGCGAAGGCGATCGCCTCCCGCGTGCCCGCGTCGGTCCACTCGAGGCGCAGGAAGGCGCTGGACGCCATCGGTCCAGGCTACTTGTACTCCATCGGGCCTCTCCGGGCTGCTTTCAAGGGCGACGGTGCCGCAATGTTGAACGTCGCCCTCGCGATTGCAGTGCGCTCAGTACGAGTCGCGTGTGTAGCAGTCGCGCGAGACGCGTGAGGATGGCGCGCGCGTGCCTGCGCCTCGTGCTCCTCGCCGCGGCCCTGCTGCATTCCGTGTGCGAGGAGGCCGAGGTCGAGGTCGTCCTCGCGATCAACGTCGACGCGCAGACGCAGAAGGACTTCGTCGTGCCCGCCGGCCAGCAGCCGGAGGGCGCCGCGCTCATCTTCTGCGGCGACGTCATCGGCACGGACGCCGCGCAGACGGAGCAGCTCGTCGACTGCGTCATGGAGCTGTCGAGCCGCGCGCTCGTCGAGCGCGTGCGCCGCGCGCTCCCCGCGGATGCGCAGCTGCCGCCGCTCGACCTCGAGATCAAGCTCGACGAGGCGGGAAACACGGCGACGTTCTCCCACGACGGGGCGCGGCCCATCGGCGACGCCGCCGTCGCCTTCTGCGCGGAGCTCGTCGAGGAGCCCGCGGAGAAGCCCGTGGTCAAAGACTGCGCGGCGAACATCGTGTCCTCCGCGCGGCGGAAGGTCATCGAGGCGACGGTCGCGGCGGAGGTCCAGGAGCGACGGAAGACCATCGACGACCTCGTGCGGTCCGAGCTCTAGGCTCGTCGCGCGCGGGTAACTACCTTAGAAGACGCGTCGATCGAGGCCCGACTCCAGAGCGGCTCGGGGGCACTCGCTCTGCGCGGATCCTGCTCTTAGTACTGAGCGTCTTAATTAACGCCGGCGGTGCAGGCCCGTCGCGTGGCCCGTGTGCTTCGCGTGGACGCGGTGGTGGTCGGGCTCCGGCGCGGGCGCGGGCGCGTCCGGCGCCGCGCCGGTCTCGATGAGCGCGGCCCACGCGTCCTCGCCCGGCGACCGCGCCGACGCCGGCGGCGCGGGCGCGGTCTTCTCCGGCGGCGGCGGCCGCGCGGCCGCCCGGATCGCCGCGAGGTCCGCGCCGAGGCCCTCGAGCTCGGCCTCGAGCTCGCGCGCGAGGCGCTTGAGCTCGCGCGCGCTCGCGGGCGCCTCGACGGGCGCCTCGAGCGCGCGCGCGCTCGGCGGCGGCGCGCGCTCGACGGGCGCCTCGAGCGCGCGCGCGCTCGGCGGCGGCGCGCGCTCGATCGACGGCGGCGCGCGCGGCGGCTTCGCGGCCTCGGCCCGCCGCCGCGGCACGGTGGGCGTCGGCGTCGGCGCCGCGGAGCGCGTCGCCGGCGTGAGCGGCGACACGACCTCGGCCGTCGGCGGCGGCGTCGGCGCGGGCCCCGGCCGGCGGCGCGGCGCCGCGCCGGGCGCGTCCGGCCACCGCCGCGCGTCGGGCCGCGCCGGCCACTCGTCGGGCCGCCGGCGCGCCGAGTCGACGTCGTGCCAGACGCTGTCCGGGAAGCGCTCGGCCTGCTCCGCGGCGACGGCCCGCTCGCGCCAGCTGTCGACGCTCGGGCAGGGGCTGCCGCGCCAGGGGCTCGACCGCTGGCGCGCCGACAGGCGCTGCTCCGCGGCGAGGGCCCGGCTCCGCCAGACGTTGAGCTCGTCGTAGCGGCCGACGACGGCGTCGAGCTTCACCTTGTATTTCTTGGGCATCGTCGCGCGGCTCTCGGACGGCAAGGGGAGGTTCGCAACGTTGTGAGAGCGCGCGCTTTTTGGGCTGTTGGATTCTTTACATCTTCAACCTCCTGACTTTGCCACAAAAACTGCGCAATACGACGCCATCGCGACGCGTCCGATGCGGAAGCGCTGCAGCCTACGCTAGCGATGGACGCGGCGAACGCGCAGGCGGCGCGCTGGGCCGGGCGCGCGCCGGCGCGCGCGGCCGCGCCGGCCGCGGCCGTGCCCGGCCCGCGCGCCGGCGACACGGCTCGCGCGGAGGCGCTGCTGGCGGCGGCGGACTGGAGCGACGTCTGGGCGCCGCTGGCGGCGGCCTGCGCGCTGCGCGGGCGCGGCGACGCCGTCGCCGACCTCGGGTCCGGGGCGGCGCTGGCCTACGGCGCCGTCGCCGCGCGGTGCGCGCGCGTCGGGGCCTGGCTCGCGCGCGCCGACGCGGGCGCCGTCGTCGGCGTGCTCGCGCC